CCGGCGCAGCGGGAGGTCGACGGTGTCCGTCGACCGGGCCAGCTGCAGCAGATCCTGCCAGGGACGCGAATACTCGGGTTGAGCCTGGTGGTCCGGCAAACCCACTCCGGAGACCCTACGGACGGGAACTTTTGCTTAGCGTGCCGCGGCGGCAGCCCCGGCGACACGCCATGCCTTGCGAGCGGACGGCGTGTCGCTCCGCTCCGCGGGGCAGGAGGCGGGGAAGAGCTCGGGACGTGGATGCTCGCGGACTGGGAAGTGGACGGCGCCTCGGGCCCGGGCGCGGTGGGCCAGAACCGGCGCAACGACACGCTGAGCCAGAATTCCTGACCGTATGCCCAAAGCTCGGGGGCGACGATTGGGGCGAATAGCCAAGGGTGGAGCACTACATGTATCCAGGGGCGACGATGGTCCATGCCTTCAGCGTGGCTGCCAAGCGGATGCGCTTAATGCCTGCCGCTGGGCTATTCGCCTCTATCGCCGCCTCCGGAACAAACGTCAACCCCGCTCCCAAACCCCCGCCGTGACGACTTTTGCAGTGAACCCTCAGGGGTCTCGACCCATTCCCCTGGACCAGCTTTTCGTCCTCAATGAATTCTTGACACTCCCGAGGGCCGGCAAAGGCTTCTATAGAGCCGAAGATACGGAAACACCTCCCGTCTTGCTTTTTTTCCTTGCCCGAGGGGGTCTCGGCTCCAATGCCCGCCGCCTCCCTGTTTTCAACGCTCCTCCCGAAGACTAGAAAGTTGAACGCGGGCCACAAATCGGCAGTCGGACTCGATTGGACAGGACACGCGAGAGGACACAAGACCCTTCCGAGGGCCATATCGCCATAGGAGAGTAAGAATGCACGTGTCGCGAGGCACAGGACACAACGGTACCCTTGAGCTGGCAAGGTCGACCTACTATCCGGGCCGACTGTACCGTGCGCGCGCGGCGACCTGTCGGTGCCCCGAGGGGGGGGCGCGGGCTGCGAGGACGGCGAGACAGCTGGTGGGGGCACGCCCACCTCTGCGGGGGTGGCTCTGTCTTGGTCGCCCGAAGTGGGCACATACGGAAAAAAGACGGGTACGTTGCCAAACAGCACAGGCTGGTCAAAACCGACCGCGGCGTCTGGCGGGCAGGCGGCTTTTTTTCTGCCTTGAGTGACCCACGACCGCGGCGGCGCGGACAGCGGGTCCTGCTCAGACAGAACAAGGAGCTGCTGCTGGGCATCGTGCCCACTCTCTCCGTGCCCCCCGTTTCGACCGTGCCGATCTGTGCGGGGGCGGCCCTCCCCCCCGCCCCTCTGGCGAGGAGAGGCGCGAGGAGGAGGAGGACGGGGAGGAGGAGGAGGCGGACCGATGGGGGATCGAGGAGGACCGAGGAGGATTGAGGAGGACCGAGGAGGATTGAGGATCGAGGGTTGGGGCCCCGAACAGTGAGTCAGTTCTCGCACCCTGGATGTGCAGGCTACGCCGTGCAGGCTGCGCGGTGTGCAGGCTAGGTAGTGCGAGGAGGAGGGGGAGGAGGATCGAGGAGGGTCGAGGAGGATCGAGGAGGATCGAGGTTGGGGGTGGCCGGATGGGGGGTCGAGGAGGAGTGGTGGGACGCTGCCATGGGACCTGGTTTCGTGTTCATCCACTGGCCTCCGAGCTTACTCCTCCTGGTCTGTATAAGGAGGGCAGCAAGAGGGATGAGGTTGCGGGAGGGAAGGAGCTGAAAGATCGAACCGGGAGGAGTGAGGAGAAGGATCGAGGAGGAGGAGGAGGAGGAGGAGGAGGAGGAGGAGGAGGAGGCAGAGGAGGACGGGATCGAGGAGGAGGAGGAGGAGGAGGAGGAGGAGGAGGAGGAGGGGGAGGAGGAGGAGGAGGAGGAGGAGGAGGAGGAGGATCGAGGGGGGGAGGAGGAGGAGGAGGAGGAGGAGGAGGAGGAGGAGGAGGAGGAGGAGGAGGGAGGAGGAGGGGGAGGATCGAGGAGGAGGAGGAGGAGGAGGAGGATGAGGAGGAGGAGGAGGAGGACCGAGGAGGACCGAGGAGGGGCGTGGCGGCGTGGAGGACCCCCGCGGAGGCTCCCCGTCGGGCAGCGCCACGCAGCGGATGCTCGCGAGGTCGGCGAAGGCCAGCTCGGCGGCGGCGTCCGGGCCGGGGCCGTCGGCGGGCCCGCCCTCCTGCGGGGTCGTCGGGGACAGCCCTCCTCCTCCTCCTCCTCTTCCTCGATCCTCGATCCTCCTCCTCCTCCTCCTCTCCTCCTCCTCCTCCCTCTCCTCTCTCCTCTCCTCCTCCTCCTCGATCCTCCTCCTCCTCCTCGAACCTCTCCTCATCCTCCTCGATCATCCTCCTCGACCCTCCTCCTCCTCTCCTCCTCCTCCTCCTCCTCCTCCTCCTCTTCCTCGATCCTCGATCCTCGATCCTCCTCCTCCTCTTCCTCGATCCTCCCCCTCCTCCTCCTCCTCGATCCTCCTCGATCCTCCTCGATCCTCCTCCTCTTCCTCGAATCGGATCCCCAAATCTCCGACGAT